TTGCTATAATATTAAACTCTTCTTTGTTATTGTCCGGACAATGAGTCGTACAGTTTGTGTGTGTGTGTGTGTAAACACGTGTACGAAGACGACCTACAATAGTACACGGTCTGTACAATAATCTATTTTCCCATATTAAACGGTGCTCGCGTTTTTGATCCACAAATAATCTATACGTGAGACTACCGACCGATTATCGCAGTGGTTGGTAGTCCACCGAGTGTCCTTTTTCCATAATAATAACATGAAGGATCTTAAGCCCGGTCCGTACCAAGGGCGACACATATTTCGAGAACTTTCTGCGGTTCAACACAATATTTGACGATTGTTGAATGTCTCTCCGAGTAATACGTCCCACAGATTAGTATTACATTGTAGCTGGTAAAAATATTAATAAATATCTGTCGTGTGACTTTGTACACTATAATAATATAAATACTATAATTCCTTTTCCGGTTAAAATGTCTAAACAATATATTGTTTTTGTTTGTTCTATATTATATTGTATATTCAAATCGCATATTATATCCCTCCTCCATGTGGTATGTGAATTGGTAAAACAAATTTAAGAAATATTACAAAAATATGTTCGATTTTGGAATTGAGTTAATCCTTCTTTGCGTATAAGGGCATTTTCGTAATTAGATATTTTTAGTTTGGTAATTAATAACCAGTATATACCTACATGACCGCAACTAAGTATTTTCATTATTTAATTAAATTTATTGAGATTTTATTGTATGCAACTATTATACGTTTCGATGCTAAAAACTAAGTTTTGTCAAATAACGTCACGTATTTTCAATATAAAATATTATATAAAAAAAATCCATGGAACAGGGTTGATTTTTTATATTTCCATTCATATTTTGATCGTAGCAAAATACAGTACACTACTATCAGTTAGATTTTTTCTAAAAAGCAAAGGCTAATTTAATCACCCATTCCAGCTTAAGTGTTATTCTATTCCACCCTTTACGATAACAATGATACACTCGACTAACTTCGAATTTTGAATTATTTTTATTAGTCATTTTATGGATTTGCCTACACTCTTCGCATGATTCTCATCGTTTACAACGGTACACACCAGTGACCAGCAGTAGTATAGTCAGTAGCGAACAACATGCATATTATTATGTTATTGTATGTATGTTAGTAATATATTATAATTATTACAATATTATATAGGCTCTCCTCGTTGCAAGTTGCTTAATACGGGGGCCCGTCGTTATCGGTGTCCGGTTGAGTCGCAAGCGTTCGGCACAGACCGTCGCCTTCGTTATCTTCCACCACACTATATTATTATGGTATATAATATGCGCTTAATATATATATGTTATACTGTACGACCACCGGACTGGACACTTCCTGCGGTGAATTGGCGATAAAAAAAAAAAAAAGAAGGAAAATAGTCGTCAAAACGCACGTCCTCCGTATATGGGCTTGTTGTTGGGATGTATTGTATATAATAGTTGTGCATTACACATTAAACAGAAACAAAACAAAAAAAAAAACTTAGAAGAGGGCCGTCGTGGAGAGAGACAGTGCGGGCTTAAGTGATTTTCGTAATACTGTATTGCCCCGAAAAACCGTGTGTAGTGCGTGTCCGTGTGTCCATCGGCGTGAGAGAATGAGCCTAAACAAACTGCCAGTAGATTCACACCTGAGGTCGTCCCGTTCGCTTATACGTATATAAATACACCCATTACAATACATATAATATATATATGTTATGTTTTATATATACAGATATTGGAACGTCGCATGTGCGGTCGTGGCCGTAGGCGGTGGTGGTGTGTTATACTCTATACACACTGTATAAATATAAAAACCATGGGAACACCCTTTGTTTGCGCCTTAGGGTTAATTTTGGCTTAGTTTTTTTTCCCTCTCGTTTTTATAACGCCGGCAAAACAAATTGTCCCCAAAGGCGAGACCGTCGCATCCCGGTCGCGGTGACTAGCACCACACTACCACCCGGCGCTTGTGATTTAGTGGACACTAAACTCTATACAAAAGCGTGTTCTGTGTACTAACATTGTAACAATTATTTTCTCCTTGTTTTTACTTTCGTTAAACATAATAATACTACACAGAACAGTGGCAAATAGAGTAGTATGGGCAACAGACGAAAACTAAAAATATAACTAATTGTATTTACTATAAAAAGCATTAGGCCTGCACTTGCGTCGCGCCGGGTTCTTGAGAATTTACATTATTATTTTCTACGCATTTTTTATGTCCAGAATCTCTAATCACCATTGTATTATTCTGGCGTTTCTTGTGCACTGAAGTTTCAGCTCCTCCCGAGCGTTAGAAGATTGTAGTTATGTTGTGTTTACTTAATGCATTTACCGGTTTTGTGTTTCATATTTAACACTGCGTTTTTGTCGAATGTTGATAAGTGAGCCGGAATATATATAGGGGATCAAACTAGAAGTCTATAACACATCTAAAGACGGTGACCGAGCATGATGTCTCGACCTCAATACCTATTAATATTATTATTATTATTATGTTTATTGCTATTGTTTTGTACGTATAGGGTAAGACCTCCCCCGCGGACATTAAGATAAATGCATCGGTCATGGCGTGCCCTTATCAAGCGTGTGTGCTCTTTGGTGTGTTGTGTAGGTACGATGTTTTTCTAATAGTAAATTGTAAAAGCAATCGCAGCGGTTTTTCAAGTCTTGTAGCGTATTTGACCCTCGTAGCACATGCGAAGTATAGCCGGAATGTGCGGCTAGCACAGCAAGCGAGACCCGCAGCAGAGAAAAAGGTTATCGCAGAACCACGACCGGGATCGGGATTTATTATTAGAAATATTGTTAGAAAAAGCCAAGAGAGAAAGATGATTTTCAGCCAGACGAATTTGTTTGTTTGTTTTTTTTTTTTATTAACAGAAGATAAAAACGACTGTACTTATATAGATTTCGATGCGTATAATATGTATGTTATAATACTGTCTACATAGTATGACGAATGCACTTTTGATAACGGTTATGATAAAACGTGTTACTGTTGCATAATAATAATGCCACGATGTTAGGGCATTGGGAAAATGTATAAGACCGTTTAAGTGTCCTGCACAGTCCAATGTATAAAATGATATACGCTATATAGCTGGTGTTGTCCGTGTCATGTTAAAATACATTTCACCGTTTGGCGTTCCACGTGTTATTTTAGTTAAAGTATTTAATAATTAATTAACGCTCTCGTAATAATGTGAAATAATATCATTTTATACTCTGTGGCTGTGGTGCAACGTTATTTGAAACGATACAAGTGTCTGCTGCAGTTGGATTGACCCTGACCGATCTGCTATCTATAGCGTTAACGTTGATCCGTGGATTGATATGGACGTAATTCTGTCAAATTTGGCTGCGAGTCGTTACCTCGGGCTTTATGAGTTTTATTATTATGGCCGACAACAAGGTCTATACGATGTACATATATGACCCGTATACTATTCTTTCTGGTCTAATTACATGTAATTATAGTACCAACATTGTTGAATGCAGTTATAGTGTATTACGTGGTTGTTATTTATATTAGTAGATCACATGTAACCATTTATTCAAAGCGTCATACACACAACATACAGTTTTTAGTCTTTTAACTAAAATTTTTTTTTTTGAGAGAAAAATGTTTAAAAAAATATGACTACTGCGGCCGTTGGTATTCATTTTACATTTTAATACAATACAATATACATGTTGTTAATGAATTGTGGATTATATTATATAGTAAACGCACCAAGAATGATAACGGTAAATTGATAAGCGTTTTACACATCTCGTGTGTGTGTGTGTATAAATAGCAATAATATAATATAGCATGTATAGCAGCACGGTAACAGAATACAAAAATTACGATTTACGATCTAGTTGAATGAAACGATTGTAAACAAATCGTCATGTAAATTCTTATTATTATTATTGTTTTTTTTATCATTTTCTCGTTCTTTATCAACGATAACGTTTTACTACAATAATTTTATTTTTACGGACGAGTTTTTCATTTCCAAACGATTACCCGAGATCATCGGCTCTAATGTGGTTATTTATGTAACGTCTCGTGTGATAACAGACACAATCAAATTATATTGTTCTTTATCAATGTTTACAATAAGCATTACGTTATCATACTACTACATGTTTTATACGTCTACTTTCGTGACGTTAATACGTTTTTTGTTGTGGTCTGTGGCGTGTATGAGACAGATTCGCATCCAAAGATCAGCTGCTTATAGCATAAAGGTGTGATGTCGTTTTTTATCGTAATATTTAATTTGCGTTTCAAAGTTAATTAAAATACGTGCATGCTTTAATGTTATAACAACAATTATTATATGAATATTCAGAACAAAACATTGCAAATTATGTTTTTTGTGTAACCTAGCAAAGGTGGTTAACCAGCCGAACGCCCTCGTTGAGTTTTTGTAACAACTATGTCAGACTGGATTTAGATGTAAATTATAAAAATGTAATTGGTTACACACGAAAATGAAAAAAAAAATTGACAAATTGAAGACATTTTACCTAAGATCAAAATGAAAAAAATATTTCAATACAATACAGTTGTTATTTTTATAACAACTGTAGCTGACAAGTGACAACATAAATTTTGTGCTAAAAATATAGGTATGTTTTGATAAAATACCTATTCATTGATTGACTTTTTCCACTTGGAACTAGATTTATTTTCAATCTCGTTATTACTCGATTGGAAGGGTTTACATAAAATACATTAAATATGTAGTCAGTAAACAAGTAAAGTTAAAAGTTAAAAGTTCAAAATCGTGTGTAGAGTACAATATTATTATTTATTTATTAAATTTATTACTTAAGATGTGACATAATAACGGAGATGACTTTTTTGTAGAAAAAGGGCGTTTTTGCGCTTATGATTTCAAGTCTCGTGGGGTTTACATGTGTACAATTGTATTTGTTATTAATAAGGTATGAATGATAATAACAAAAAATGTTTTTTTGCAGGTCTGTCGGAATCGCCTGAACAACAACATCATGTAGTGGTCAGTGGCGAAGGGAACAGCGACACAGTGGCCGGCGTCGGCGGTGGTGAATACGACACTTCGGCCGAAGAAGACAGGGCGGCAGCGGACACCATCGACGAGCTGAACAACCGGCGTGACGTTATCGCCGATTCGGTGGAACCCAACGAACCGCCGCCCGCTGTAGCGATACCGCTTCGTCACGGCGGCGTGGTCGTCGTTAACGACGTTGTGGCGGTGGCCGCGGTGGACGAAGAAAATGGCGGCGGCGGCGGTAGCGCGGGCACGCCCAGCATCGGCTACGGGTCGCCGGCGGTAGATGGTGCGCCGGTCGGTAGGACGTCGTTCGGCGCGGAGGAGGAGGAGCCCGGTGCGGCTGCCGGCGATCGGTTACGGCAACAACAACCGGTTCACGGGACGACAGACGAACGGCCGACCGGCAACGTGTATGTACGTCGCGATGATATGAGCTATCATCATCAACAACAGCAGCAACAACACAACAACGGTCAGCAACAGCAGCATCAAGTGGTCGTACTTAATCAGCATCCCGGCAACAACAACCAATACGACATGTTGGTCGCCCAGACGTATCAACAGTCCAAGTACAACAACCCCGCCACCAGTCGGGACCTATTGGCCATGTTCCCGCAAGTGGTGGCCGCCGCTACTGGTCATCATCAGCAACAGCGGGACGAAGACGAAGAATTCTACGAACAGTATCAGCAGCAGCAACAACAAGCTTATAATCAGGCGCAGACCAAGTTCGAACACATCGTGCTCAAACAAGAGCCTCACGACCGGATCACCCAGCACGTGTACGCGGCCGCCGATTATTTCCAGGACCAACAGCTGTCGGTTCAGCTACAACAACAGGATCAACAACAGCACTGCTCCAGCCCGGGAAGCTCGGCCGAAGGGTACGACGAGGAAGTGGTGTCGGCCGCCGCGGTCAAAGGCGATCTGCTCGACCTGCATTTGCCGGCGTCGACCAGGGACGACGTGACTGCCGGACAGTCTAGCGCGTTCGCACACCTGGTCGCCGTGTTGCACAGCGATTCGGACAGCGCGTCACCCCTACAAGGCCATCTACAGGACGATCAACAACAGGGATCGCCGACAATCGTTTGCCAGCCACACGTGGCCGACCACTCGTACACGCCGTCATCGTCGTCGACGGAACAACAACAGTTGCAGCAACACATTTCGCACAATCACTCCGGCGGTTATCACCATGGATCATCCTCGAACGTCATTCACCAAAGCAACGGTTCTAATATCACTAGGTAAGTTAGCCTTTTATTTATGATCTATTTACGACGCGTTTCCCGTTTCGACTGTGATATGCGCTTTGTTTTCTATAAAGAGGTGTTCCTACTCTGCTCGAAGGGCCTTAAACCCGTTAAAAGTCCTTAAGTGAAGTGTTCACTTAAAATACTTTAAAAAATGTGTAATGTCGGGTGCCCCTCAAATTACCCGTTAATACAAAAGAACTATACCATTTCACACTGCGCTACATAGTACCAAAAAAGTGTAGTTCAACAAATAAAATAGGTAGATCTTTTCAAATATTGTCTATCACTCCAAAAAATATTTTTTAAACCACCGGGGGAGATAATGCACTTGCAAAAATATTATAAGTGTTACGTTTGTCGACTACAAAAGAGACGTTACGCATTATTTTAAAGGGGTCGGATTAGGCAATTTGCACATAGCTAAAGCCGTCTCGCGCTTTGGTCGACTGGAAAGCGATAAAAATAATATTAATTTATTATTTTTAACGTCTTTCGGCGGACCACGTGCTGTTGAGACACGGGTCACCGGTGACTTGACGTTGTAACGCACTCCAATAGATTACGAATAGATTATCAAACGGATTGCCATTAAAACCGTGATACCATCGATGTGTGTTATAACATATAATATTGCTCGTACCGTGTTTATGAGGCCAGCAACATTCTAATAGATTTCAGCGTTTTGTAATATTTCTCTGTACGGTAGGCAGCATTAACAGATGACTGATAACACTCAAAAGAGTGATGCGGCGGACGCGAAATCGAGTAACTTTTGTAAACGTTACACCCCTTCCCCTCCCCCAAGTATAGGATATTAACGATTATATTATAATCGTTCACGTGTAATGAATTCCTAACAACGCGTACAACACATTATTTTTGTGTTGGCGGGTCGTAATAATAATATGGTGATATAAAATGACTAATATTTCCGGTCTCCCAACAATGTTTATCGTTGATGTATTTTACGTGGAATGCCCAAAATTGCTATATTTAGCTGCGACCGTCTAGTGTCGATACCTGCGCCGGCACAACTCGCCGGGGTGTTGTCCGCGCCTAAGTATGATGTTTTTAAATAACGTGTAACCCAGTCTGTTTTGTGGCCGTCTGGGATTAAAAAAAAAATCTACAATAATCTGTCGCCTAAACAAAACATATTTAACCGAATTTCTGTTTTGAAATTCCTATTTTATTATTTATTGCCATTTTGGAAAGACCCTTAATAGGCAAACAAAATAATATATTATGTATAATGAATAAAACAAATTGTAAATTATAAATGTATAACATTGACATGTACATTGTATGTATGTATAGAATGGTTGATCGAAATGTGCAATAATAAAAATGTGCCAATTTCAATGATAACATCCGTAAAAATCATGTTTATATACGGCCAATGTGTATTTTTTTAACTATTTATTAATTGATAACGAATGGAATATTAGAAATGCATTTTTTTTTTTAATTTATCATTGTTTCGTAAATTGAGCACAACTCGATTCGGCCGAGAATACCAACGACTGATAAAACCATTTAACATTGGAACTTAGGTTTGACGTGAGCCATAGAAATGATAAAACTTTCATTTTTTCAATTGAAAGTTGTTTTACCACATCCTTCAGCACCCCTCCCCCACCCAGTCAAAAGAACTTGACAAGTATTAAAAAAAAAAAAAAACAATAAAATTTATAATTGAAATATGACTGATTGTAATTTCAAAAAAATCGTACTTGGGCTGCTAATTAATCCTCGATGGCCGGGAGAGCCGGTAAAGCGCATTTTTTAAAAATTTCACGTTTTCTCAAATATATATATATATATATATACAATAATAAAATTTATTATTACGCCAACGGGCGAGGTCGTGTGTGAGTCTTGGAAAACACAAAACAGCGACCGGTCGTTCTTAAACCGTAAATTACACACGCACTTGTCGCCCAACGACCTGACGTTTATTATTTGTGCCCGCGACGTTGTGTGCACTATGCACGCGCATTACCCTCCCCTGCTCCCGTTGCCTTCTCCTTTTGACCACGTTTGCTTCGCTATACTTGCTAGGCAGGTATTAGGTGCCTGAAGCACATTTTCATCGACGCCCCAAAGTTGGAAAAGGCTGGTGTCTTAGGGATAATATTAATATTAGTTGCGTACAAATTGATGAGTCACATTGGTTATCACTTATCAACATCAAAAGTATCACATCAGCACAATCGGTCGGACCCGAAGCACAAAATATAATATTATTATATTAATAATACTTTACCTTAGCAAAAACACAACGTGGTGTGTGTATAGTATATTATACTACTATGATTATTATTATTATTACTTCAATATGTTCTCTCGGTAATCGGCCGTCGACACCGCTATTTTCATTTATATAATTTTTAAATAATGTTTTTCGAAATGTGCTCCACTGACGGTATTTGAATTTTTTTCTCATCGCGGTCAACGGTCATCGTCGGTTTTTCGAAATCTCTTTCAAGTCCAATAAACGGTTTTTTTTTTTACATTATCGAATAATAGATTTCTAATTACCAACTACTTTCGACACGCTTATTAATATTGAATCGACGGTAGTAATTTTTGACAGAAAAAAAAAATACATTTACTATATTTTATAATTTCTTATCTGGCTCGCGGCCCGTGCGGATATTTTGCCATTTGTCGATGGTTGGGTTTTTAACAATAATTTTTTGTTATCTTTGTGTGTGTGTGTGTGTGCGCCGAGACAATTTTTGGACTCTGGACGTGCGTTTACCAAGTCGCCGTCGATCGGAGGACAACCGTGCTCGATAACGACCGACCAACGAAAACAAAAAAATATATATACATACATAATATTGAAGTTTACCTTCTAAGGCTTGACATAATAACTTTTTTCCTACCGTTCAAATACACACACATACACACACACACACACACACACCCGCCGTTGTGTCTCTCGTTCGACCGCTATATTATAGACTTTGTCCAGAAATTCCACTGTTCGGTGTACGGTTCACACGAGTTCATCTTAAATATTGGCTAGGTTATGTATACGGTGGTCGATCAGAGGCTAAAATTTAGATAACATTGAATAATATTCCTAGCGCAAAAGTAGGTGTTTATGGGCTTTTTCCCCATTATAATATCTATTGGCCGTTGCCCGTTAGAACTATGGACTCGCAGTCGATATGTTTTATATAAAACGAATAATACCTTTTCCAATATGATGACATTTTTAGCTGTATGCTAATACTTTGCAATACTCGGTAGGTAATTATTAGAGTGAGAGGGGGAGGATGGAGGGGGAGAATAAACCTGTTGTTAATTATTGCTTCTGTTGAACATTTTGAACAAAGTGACTTGTCACCTCTTTTCCCCTGTACTTCTCTTCAATTACAACCTGCAAACAACGGTCAACCGATACAATTGCGTGCTGCGAACGTCAGCGGTTTTAGGCTCGGCTTGTTAAAAAAAAAAAAAAAATACAAACAACCTCATTTGAACCCATTTGATTTTCCTATTAATAGCAAATGGACCACCACCGTCGACGAGTATAACAATTTATATTTATTCCATACAGGTCTGACCCTAGCATTATTATAATATAATAACGGATAACCAAACTTCCATAAGTACCTACCGTTTGCCCGGCCCAAGCCTTCTTCTCACATCCCCTGCCCAACACGACGGGTAACAAATATTGAATTTTTAGATATTGTATTCCTATTATTATAAAAAAAAAAAAATACAATATTTTATTCTATATAATAGTAATAATAATCTAATTTCCTCTGTTCGTTGAAACGTACAAACGGCGACTGTTATGTAGTTATATTTATATCGGGTACGATGGGCCCCGAGAAAATTTACTATATAACGTTATTATAATAATAATATTATGTCGCCGGCATAAATAACATTATGTCCCTTCTACCGTGCGTGTAGTGTATTATATACACGCCGAAGAGGCCTAATGAATAAATGGTAATTGTTCCAACACGTTCTCCTTGTGTGTATATGGCCTATTGTGACCGAACGAGCGCAACCAGCGACGGTACTACTTACATGTACACACACACACACACACATAACGTGTGCAAAGACCGTGTAAATTCATTATTATTACTCCGAAACATTTGTGTGTGGAAAAAAAAAAAATGTTATATTTATGCTGGCGACCGTTTTTTTCCCATCTAATTTTATGGACGCGATTTAAGTGTTTTTGCGCGCGCCACCAAGGACACTTGTCGCCTCCTGTTGGGTTGGTATTATACCTACTCGCACACATACTACACACTTAACGTTGGGCTATTATAATATTATGCCTAAGCGTGCCCTCTCCTCTGCGACACCACCACTCACTCCACCTCCCACGTTCGACCCCGTTCGTCGGTGTGTGTTTCACCTGGGCCGACGACGGCCTTTTCCGAATTCAACGTCATAAAACTGTTGAGTTTTTTATTTTTTTTATTTACCGTTTGCGGTCGGCCGCGGAGGCGTTCAAAGAAATAAAAAAATACAAAATGTATAACGAGTAGGATGAAAAAAAAGCGATGGGACAGGGTCAACGCGTGTGAAATATTAAAAAAAAAAAAATCGACCCGTTGGCGAATTCTTTAGGGTCGGGATGAGCATCTCGCTAAGGAAAAAAAAAACAAAGAAGAAATAGTATCCGTCTTAGTGCAAATAAATACAAACTTTATTACGCAACGGCCTTTAGAGAATCAAAGCGTGTTCACCCATACATTCGCCGTACAAGCCATAATTTTTCTAAACTAACTCTAGAATAACAATTGTTTATTCCAGGGCAGGCAATGAGGGCTGGATGTACCTCCTTGTGTACTTAAATTGTATGCGCGTTAAAAGGGTATTTTTTTGTAAGCTTTTTAACTTTACGGACTATTGCTTGTATCATATAAGCTATATGTATGGCTTGGGTAATAAAAGTCGAGTTAAAGTAGTATTCGGGATTTTATTACGTCCTCTTAACGCGTCTCGGTCTAGTATTGATGAAACAGAAGAATTGTTTGTTTTTTTTTCTTTCAATTAACAGTTGTAAAACGACAGTAACGGGATAGGCGGGGTCATATGTTGGGGAAGAACAACCGCGTTGTCCTTCTCCTGTCGATGCTGGAGATCGTTGGCCTCGATATAATATGCGTTTTATGTCGGTATTTCGTGTCGCCGCTATTTGAAATACGATCATCTTGGCCGGGTTGTGTTTTGTAAAAGTATTGTACGTATATTATAATAATAATAATAATATATAATATAGTATTATGTGTGTGTGTTGCGTATTATATATATATATATTTTTTTATTTAAAAAATATCCGAGGCAATAGGAGATGAAAAACTATATTAATGTTTACACAAACGACGAAGCGCGCGTTTGATGATCGTATCACAAATAGTTTTTGTCACAAAGGAATCTAAGCGGGTCGCGCCCGGTGGTTGAGAGAGCAGATTTGCTTGGACTTAGCTTGGCTAAGCACAAACTGCGGCCAGCAGCGATCCAGTAGACACGTTTATTATTATTACAATTTAATAAATATTAAATGGTCGGCGAGAGAGTTGATGATGATGGTCCGCCTACGTTCTTTGGTTCTTTGTTCGTTCTCGGAAACCGTCTGTTTATACTTTTGCGGTGTTTTTTTTTTTTTCACTTACTAACCGTTTTTTTTTCTCTTAACCGACGCCGAGGCTTTGTCGACGACACCGGACCCTCCCCTACCTCGTCGTTCCCGTATTTGTCGGTAGGGCTGTGTTGTGTCTTTACTAGTTACTACCGCCATCATCTCCACCGACCCATCGACCGTGGTTCCTCTTGCGGGCTGTGAACGGTTAAATTGTATTCCACACCGGGGCTTTGCCACGTGTCTCCACTGTCGTCGGGGTGTGTCTTACATATTATTTTGGTCTTGGTGTTATGTTGATCTTTTGTTTGTCTCTCATCTCGGTGTATTTCGGGAGACGACCTATGTATAGAGTATTATCGCTGACCGGTGAGATTCCCACGTAAGCAATATTATATATGTGTATATTGAATAATACCGCCGATCGGTCGGTTTCCTATTTCATCGATGCCGTGTCATAATAACATCAACAACAACAACAATAATAATAATAATACAACTACTTAAGCTTGTTTCGTAATTCGCAGTGTGTGTATATGTTAGATATATATATATATATACACGTCGCGATCATAATTATTATTATTTTTTATTTGGTTTTAGAGAGAATGAAAAAACGGTCTTACCGTCGCCCAAACTCGATTATAGTTTATACAATAAGCGCGCGAGCCGTTCGAGGACAAGGACAACGTTTAGTAGAAACATACATACGTTATAATGAAAATATACTAATCACCATTATTATTTGTTGCGAATATTTGTATTTATTGTTATTACTAATGATGTTGTCTTCCGACGTCTTCAATTTGTAGGTGGCAAATAAAGCAATCTCAATTCGCGGCGTCCACTGGACACGGTATTTTTAAAGAAAAAAAAAATCATGTAGATTTCGTTTTGTAACTGGACGCCAAACCGTTTTTGTGTTTACCTTAAGCGGTTCAACGCCGTCGTCGTCATTTTCTTCATATCTCGGTATCGGTTTTTAGCGCCGACACTAGTAAAAATAAACTAACTCCACTAGATAACAAATTGAAAATTTTAAAGTTTCTTTTTTTGTGTGTGGTTACTACTCGTGAGCGTGGTAAGAATTCGTAGGACGCAGTTTTATCGAAACGCAACATTTAGCACATACGATCACGTACGGTCCGCGTTTGACCTAAAACCGTTTGGCCATGTTTTGAAATCGGAGATCACGTTTGTTATCTCTGGACGTTGGCAAAAAATGTCTACAATTCAGATATTATATTATATTGTTTTTCCGCAGACCGCCGGGACTCGACCGAAATTTGTGTAAAATTATTATAAAATTAACAAACTAGAATCCTGCATATTTTTCTCTACCTCACTAAACAGGAATAATGATAAAGAATAGGAGCTCAACAGTGTGAACATTCAATCGGTTCACGCTGTGGTGACTCCTTGTTAAGTCGATATTATCATTAAACATTTTAATTTTAGCTTTTCAATTTAGTCATTAGTCCCTTTGGTCAGATCGGTCTATCAATCCGGTCGACCTCGTGTGTACAAGTTCTGGTTTTTCTTTTTGATCATTGCCACTGTTAGAGGGAGAGGGGTGGCGTCGGTTCGTGACAAAACCGTCGTTCCATTTTCCGTTCGCCCTACTTGTCGGGCACTGCACCGTAACACTAATATTATAAACAAATAAAAATTATCCAATCCGATTGAATAACACCGTTCGATAAGCAAACGTTAAACAATATATATATATATATATATATATATTATGGGGCCCCGTCCGACTTGGTTGGATATTATGATGCCCGTCCGAGGCTGAACGTGCCGCCGGCGAAAACACGGCGGCAAGGTCGCCGCAACGCCTCGGCCGGCATAGTGTAAGTAGAGGAGGTGTTGTTGTAGAGCACGTCTTGGTTTTTGCATCGGGTCGCCGGTGTTCGCGCGACGACGACAGCAGCAGCAACAGTTTGTGCGACCTGGACTTGTCGTTAACAACACCTCATGCCGAGCAGAGTAGGTCGGTGTACACTCAAGTACGCGCACACAAATCATGTCTCCCTATAGTTATTAGACGTTCGTAGATCTAAGACTGATCTTACAAACAAAAAATCCCCCTTTCCCTCAATAACTCGAGTTTAAAATTGTTTTTTTCCCTCCCGAGCAGTTCTTCCATGTACCAGAGGAGCAACGGTGGCGGTGGCTTGTATCCAGCTTCCCTGCAACAGTACTTCGCGACGTCTCCCGACCTCGTCAGTCAGCAACAACAACAACAGCAACACGCCAACAACATAATCACATCCGTAGCCGGCAATCACATGTGGTCCACCGGTAAGTTGATATAAGGTTTATTTTTCGTCCGCGTACGATAAGGCGAGCTTATGACTAAATTAATAAGTGGTCTATCTCTGTCGAAATATCGCCTCAAGAATTGTTGTTCGACAATCTGCATCTGTTGTCAGTACAACTGATGTCTGTGTTTTAAATAGGACTTATCGCTTGTATAATGTCGTTATAACCGTGAATTGAATTTTTTTGCAGTGGTGTCCGAAGACGGTAGTTATTCTCCGTCGTCCAAACATCAACAACAACACCAACAGCAATGCAACCACAACGGCGGCGGTGGACTGCCGGCTTTCAGCCAGCGTTTCGGCACCCACACGTCGTCCGCCTCGTACACGGCCTCCGGCGTGTCGTCCAGGCCTTCTTCGTCCACGTCGTCGTACCACCCGATCGTCCCGTCCGGCGGGTACCACTTGGCCCCGTCCAACAACGTCAGCGGGTCCTCCGTCGCGGACACCGCTTCGCTGCAGTGGGCCGCCTCGCACGGCTACCCCAACACGGACGGCACCATCAATTACGTCACCATGTCCACCACCAACAACAACAACCAGACGGCCGGTGTCCGTAGCCGGTCCACCGCCACGTTTTCGGCGGCCGCTTCTCTTTCAGCACGTGAGTATTCGACTTAATATAAATTTTGTTTTTTAAACCTAAAACACGTTTTTTTAGTTTTTGTGATTTTTTCGAATGCGAAATAAAAAAAAAAAAGATATTAACTATTAAAACGAGATAGTGAACACGTAATGGCTCACGGTTGCGGCCATATCCAATTTTCATTGGTTTTTGGCCACTGTGACTCCTTCAGCACTTGGCCCTATAATATGTTATAGTGGTTATAACAACGCGTGTTCGTCCGAGTATCGCCCATATCGGGAAATCCGCGTTTCGTAAACATAGGTCATTATTCTGTTATGTATTTCGGGCAAATTGTTGACCTTATTAACACATTTATGGGTGTGCTTAAATAATGAAAAAAAAATTGAAACGCGGCGTATCTCGCAGCGGCACCCGGTATTAACGACGCGGACGACATTGTAACAACACACCGGAGAAGGCACTTTCTTGGGAACGAGCCCCCCCGCCGTCGACGGGTCCGGGTCACGCTAAAGTAGGTGTCACGAGGATGGCGGCGGTGGGGGCCACCCAGGCGGACACGATGGTGTCTCGTGTGGCCGCTTTACAAAAACAATGTGTGTGGGTCTGTCGTTTTTTGGTGAACGGGAGGCATCGCGATCGTGTTGTTATTGCTGTTGTAGTAACGCGCGAGTGACCGCCGCCGGCTCTTCGTTGAGTATCTGTTTACCATTAATTTACCGTAAATACAAAAAGTGGCCGCGGCCTGCCGGAGTTTGTTTGGTACACATAAACGTGTGTTGTCCGTGTCACGGCCAACACGTGTTTTGCCGTGCCATCATCGGCGGGGTTCGCGGACACGTTTTTTTTTTTGCCCTCCTAACACGGACCCCGTCGTTGTAAATATTATTGATCTCGTTTCGCCGACTCGCGTCCTCTGCCCACCAACGATTTTTCGTCCCATGTCCAAACACCACCCGCGCGCTGATAAATGATCTATTTTTGGGAGGCAAAAAAAAGGGTGTTGCGATTTTTGTTTTGCGAACAGCTGTCGCAGTTGTTAGTCAATCGGTTTTTTATGAAATATCAATTACACCATCGTTTGGATTTATATTGTTGTTGAATTTTCGTTTATGTTCAAACCCTTTCTCCGGGACCGATTAAAAAAAAAAAAACAAACATCAGAGATTACAATCACGATATCCGTCGTTGTTTCAGTTTGGTAAAAAAATAAACCTAGTAGTGTTTTTATGTTTTCTTACATTCTAACGACTAGGCGGTTTTTTTTCGAAGGGGACCGCCGCCGAAAATAATCGAATCCGTTTGTCATTGATTTAGCACGTCTAGTGTTTACTCGATTTAAGAGATGGTACTACGCCGTGGTCAAAGATCGCTTTGTACCACTTTGCGCTTTTTTTCGAATGGAAATTCAATAAAAGCGCCGTTAACATGCATTTTTCTGGCCCCTGCGTAGCCTTAGACGGCCCTGTTTGACTGCCCTTGCCGCTTAGGTTGCGCCCACGCGCTGCGAAAATCCATACCACGTTAAAACGTCACCTTTGTCACTTTTTTCCGCTTAAATTGTTTTTCCTTACTCGTGTTTTTTCCCACCGTAGGCCGTAGCAATACGAATATGCTCTGTGGTTTTTTTTATCGCTTAATATTCGTTTTTCCCCCCTGACAAATGAAGGCGCGTTAACGGAAGTTCGTTATCGTCGTCGAAGGAGGAAAAACAGAGACCGTTTAAGTACGCTGTACGCCGGAAGGGGGGAAAATTGTTTTTTATTTACTAAATTACACATGCACTGCACAGCGGATTCTACCTGTCCAACGCCAGGATCAATAGCCTCGATCCCCTTCGAAACGCACTTGCCGAGTGTACTTGTTTCACACAATAATAAAATAATATACTGTTTCGTAATCGTTTTATGTCTTGATCGTCGGTCCGTGCTGTTTCTAATTATTTTGCACCCGTACCTACGTGTGACACCAACCGTACTTTCAAACGGTTTTTTCGGTTGGGTTATTCCCCAAATACGGGCGACGGGTGGTACTCGGCCGTAGTCGCCCATTCTATAAAAGACTTAAACTATGTAAAAGACACTATGACGTTCCCAAAAAGCTGGTCGATTGATTGGCGAACTGTGAAATACAAACCCATATAATTTCCTATTATCAGCATACGAACGGCTGCCACCGGAGATTTAGGCTGACCTGGCAGCAACAGGCGATCCGAAATTTGACTCCTATCTGTGTAATCGGTTCAAATCGACCCCAATATATTTATACCGATCTAATATACACTTATTATACCAGTTTTGCTCACACACCACACACATATGTTAAAACAACAAGAGGGGCGCTTGACGGTGTCGCGAGGAATTCCTGAAGGCGGCAGTCCGTCTGTCCAGAGAGACACTAGACCTGAGTAATGGATACTACTACTACTACAACACTGCATTCACACAATTTGATAGTAATACGAGCACTCCGAGTGTCGATTATTGTTTTTACGGTCCGCTATATGTATGTTATAAAGGGGATCGTCGTGTGCGTTGTGTTGACGTTGACACTTGACACACGTTGTATAGCCGTTCGTTACAACAACGCATGTCCTCTCTACACTAATAGGGTCTATCATAATGCCATAGCTAAAATATCGGCGGACCATCCTCTGTAATAGACCTTTTTTTCTTCCTTTTATTGTTTTTGTTTTGTTTCCAATATTTGCCCTTTCGCGCCGCACGGGCACAGACCACCGGCAGGTCGTCAAATATTTAAGCACCGTCTTTCGGGCGGCGCTAAAATCTTTCCTCCCATCACCCCACCCCTTCTGCGTGCAAGTCGTGGTCGGATTTACGTAGTTATTATTATTATTATTATTTGCAACCCATTACGCAATAACACGAAGGTGGTGAAGTCTCTCCTCGTGTACATACAACGGCCGCTCCTTATTTGTTTTTTTTTTTTTATATTTCTATAACATAAATGTTTTACTGGACTTTCACCTCGTCGTGTGTGTATGTACAGTGGAAGACATGGACATGTTTTGCGAGGGGCGGGAGTGCGTGAACTGTGGAGCTATATCCACTCCACTGTGGAGGCGCGACGGTACCGGCCATTACTTGTGCAACGCTTGCGGTCTGTACCACAAGATGAACGGCATGAACAGGCCCTTAGTGAAACAACCCCGACGGCTGGTTAGTCTTAGAAATTGATTTTATTTAATGATTAAAACAAATTAACTATACCGTGGGTGTGTGTGTGTGTGTGTGTGTCTGTTGGTCTAATTCCGCGTGTGCCGTTTATAACTTGCATTCATATTGTTAATTATTAACGCGATAACGACACAATTTTTAATTGTTGTCGTTTGCATGCACGAGCTTCTTTTTGTTGATGTGTGGCTTAAGTTTTTACCTTGTTTTTTCTGGTATAAACTCTCGGCTAACGAAGCACGTGGGCTTCGAACGCGCCACAGTTATAACGTTAAAAAGATACCATCCTTAACTCGCGCCACACTGCTCCTGTCCAGGTAAGCGAAAGCGGTTCGATCGAGTCATTATGTCACAAAACCCTTGTAGAAATCCCTTTGACCGCCAGCCGTCGGGTCATGGTATATAATAATATATATGTATATATTAGATTTTTTTTTTATCTCGCTCCGAAAAAGTCACGTTTAACGTTTAAAATCCGAAACCGTTAGTTATTAACCGGAAAGGAAAACAAATATTACATTTGAATGGTTTTTTTTAAAAACATTTTTTATTATTATTATTATGTTCCAGTGGCTTCCGGCCCGAGTTCGTCCGGATCTGGGGATTTCTACAAGGGTCCTCTGTACCATCACGTGCCCACGAATTTCGGGAGATCGTCTTCCGGATCCAGCGGCTTGGAAGAAAAAACCACCAGGAGAATGGTATGTACATAATAATATTTATGGGAAATATTAACGCCTAGTAGTATTGCTCGGACCGACAGCGGAGGTGAGCGATTACAGAACGGGTGTGCTATGGTTTTTAAATTACTACGCCCATCTCTGTTGGGGTAAACGAGGAATTGTGTAGGAAATTAAAAACAATATCACCGTATCATTCGACGGGGATTTTGATTGTGAATGCATTATAACCTTGTACATCCTCGCTGATAACGCTTGTTTAATGGAATTTTCAATTCAATAATGATATGTACATTTATGATGACGTATATTTTATGACAAAAAAATTCTGTATTTTAATTTAATGTTTTTATTTCGGTACAGCAGAACGCATCTAGACGCCAAGGATTGCAATGCACCAATTGCCAAACGGCCACCACGTCGTTGTGGCGGCGAAACCAGGTTGGCGAGCCGGTTTGCAACGCATGCGGTTTGTACTTCAAGTTGCACGGTGTCAAAAGGCCTTTGACCATGAAAAAGGACTCTATTCAGGTAATTATTCCTCACCTCTGCCGAATACCTGTCTAGAACAGGAATTTTTTTTTTAAAGTGACTTTTAACTAACTTAGAGCCACTGTGCTAATAATGCGGATTCATTAGTGTTAAGTAATTATTTTTTGTTCTTGGTTAAAATTCAAATTAAAGAAAGTTGCTTAGCTATTTTAAAAGAAAGCCATCTGGTCGTCTCTCCAGAGAAAATTGGTTGTATAATAAATAAATAGTTGGCCCAACTAAATGTATAGTTGCTTCAACTGAAAATGTAGTTGGGCCAACTATTTATTTAGTTATTCCAACTAGAACTTTATTGTGTCCCTATATTAACCATAATTTTAGTTGAACCAACTATGTATGTTTTTCCGTGAAGTTCAAGCTATTGACTTTTTATTTAAAATTTTTGTTTTACTTCTCTGGTCTCTCTTTTTAACGTTCCGTTTATGTTGATATTATATATTTCCATGTGTAGTAGTCTGTATTTTTTGTTGCCGTCGACATTAACAATAAAAAATGGCAGTATTAATAATTGTTTGATGGTTAATGTATAATTTTGTTTTCTTTTTATAGACGAGAAAACGCAAGCCAAAGGGCGGAGCTAAAGTGGATCCCGAGCCCAAGAGGATCAAATTGGAAATACGTGAGTATAATAATATGTTTTATATGGCATACCGTTGTGTACACCCTGCCCCCTCCCCTATTGATGACGTGTTCGAGTATATTATAAAAGATAATGAGGCGAAAAAATGTGTACCGGGAGTTATTTTATTAATTATTTTTTTCATAAATAAATCTCCGGTCGTTAAAAACGGCGTTATTACCCGATCGTAACCGTTTACAAACGTGTAATCCGCTGATAAGCAGTCTATATTATTACCCTTTAGCCCTTTTGTACTCTAGTGTCTCGATGCGAGTAACGAGATAGAGCTATTTTAACTTTAAAATAAAAAAAAAGGGAAATTGTTAACGGCCGCCATAAAATATTCATTTGAATCGCTATCGATTCTCGTTTGCATGATGATGATTTATTGTTTCGTTTTCTCTCACTCGCTTTTTCCGATGATAATTAATTTTTAACATAACCAATCCACCTAGACATTAGCTTATCTGCGTTTTATGTAAAATATGAAATTCCACGCGACGAGTCAATGTATCTTTTTTTATATTAATGCAAATCGACGTCTATGTTTAATTATTATCTCTGTAGTTCAAAGATTTTTGTACGTTTAATGAAAACCGTGTTATCGCCAAAACTATATATTTTGTTGTCCATGATAAAATTCTGTCAATAACGGATTCGTTTCTGTCGTGACTGTTAATATCTCTTCCGAACGGGGTGTGGGTTAACTTTTATTTTTTTATTTTTTTTTAATATCGTTTATTTTTAAAACTTTTTTAGCTTCCGAACACAATTACAGCGATTGTCATAGGACGTCGGGTAGCATCTTGAACCACGGCAGTGCTAGCACGGCTTTGGCATACTCTAGCTTGTACCAGAACGCGAATATCACACCGTACTACGACGTTATGAAAACCGAGTCGGTCCAAGAGCCCACCAACAGCCCTCACATAGTTAGTCTGGCATCCGCCAACAACAACAACAACAATAATAACAACAACAATAACAACAACAACAACAACAACAATACCAGCAACAAAGACAGACCGAGCGTGTTGTCCATGTCTGTAATTTCCTAGACCTTTTTTAATATTTATGATGATCCTCCTTGACTATTCTTTGAATGTTATTTAAACTTTGTTGGTTTTAATTTTATTATTATTTTTATTTCATCTCTTTTTATTATCTTTTACGAACAAACAAACAATTATTACGTTATTTTATTAATTATTATTATTATTATTATTATTATTATTTTTATTATTATTATTATCACTTTATATTTACATTACTGTTAAAAATGTAGGAAATTTTTGAGAATCATGGTTTATACTTTACGTAAATAAATATCTATATTATATGTATATAAAAAGATATCTTCTCCAAAAAGCAAAGCAAAAGACTGCATTGTACGTTTTTGAGAAATTTCAATTGCCGAACTTGAAATCCATAAGTTATTCTTGTAAGTACATATAATTATGACACATTATTTTTTAGATATATTATTTAATCGATCGCAAGTACAATATTTTATGATTTAGTTTGAATCTCTTTAAGAATTAATATTTATTAGGTAGAACTTAATATAAATAATATATTGTATATATCTATGTGTAAGTACTTAATTTATTGTACATATTATGTACTTAGTTTGTTAAACCAATTGCTTAAAACAAAATTTTCTTGACCCATTGCTTGGAACAATAATATTTGACATTGTGATTAAAAAATCGTTGACATATATTTTAATTTGTGATACTTTGACATTTTAGTATAATGGTTATTAAACTAAATATTATAATTCTAGCATGTTGATTTAATTTTTATTCGGTCATTATTTTAGTATATTTTATGTTGTAAAATAATGTAATTTATAGTAGTCGAGTAATTTACATTATTATCAATTTATGTGGAATGTTAATGTATTTTTACTTGAGCAAATCATTTAAGCAGTGTATATTATGTATCACCAAAAAAGTTATAAATTTTAAAAATAAATGCATTTGATTCCTACATAACTTATTTCCTTATTGAATTTGTATAACCTTAAACTACTTTGTTTGCACATGAATTGCATTTTTAAAAACAATTAAGTGAATAACAATATTAATGATGCAAAAATGAATTCTAGGACTATATTATTTAAATATCATTTGGTTGTTTAATTAATAATGAAACATTACAATTTATATTTTCATAGTTGCTTAGATAAAAGTTTACATGAAGTCATAAAAATATGCATTCATCATGAATATAAAGTCATTAACTATTTTTTGTCACTATATGGCTGCTTCAAGTAATTAGTGAGATATTTATGATTGTCGTTTGTATTAAAATTTGAATTAACTTGTTGTGAACAATGATTTAGCTAAAAATTAAAATTGAAAACTGTTGTACTATAACATGTAATTGTATGAACCTACAGATCACGCTGAAATTACTTGATTTCCACCAATGTAATAAATTGATAATAAGACGCAATTATTATAAAAACCTTGGTGTGTTGTCTAGGAACCTAATCGCAGCATTATCGTGTTATATCAAAACATAGTAAATCTTGAAATATACATTTTATATTTTTATGTAATTGAAAACTCAAAACTATACATGAAAAAACTCAATTTTTATTTAATAATCAAAATTAGAAATAATCAAAAGAGAGAGAGGACAAGGGTTTGTAATTGTGTGTACTACTTTAAATTGTTATAACCTTATAATTTATTATTGGTTTAAGTGATTCAAGTAATAAAACGACTAACACAATTATAGTGAACATTTAAATTGTTAGGAGCCATGCCGGGTTGTTATCTAGAACAGACGACTACTACTAAATTATTGTAAGACCCTAATTACACTGATAGTGACTTAACGGCAATCCACGGTAAATAACGAACACGAATCGATAAAAATTAACAAGTCTGTTCTTCAAGCAGAATCTTAATAAAACTGCTACCAGTATTACTAAATAACTGTTGTAAAAATATAACGCAGCTTACTCAGCCGTTCCATTTTAAATAGTTTTTGTTCAAACACGCTGCAAAATTATTCATTAAAATACTAAACTTAATTTCAATTGACCAGTGGATTAGTTTAAAACGAAGTGTTTTTAATCAAATGAAATAATTTATATAAAAAACAAATTTTATTTTTAGTTGTAGGTCACTTATCGGTTATGAGAAATTATTTTTTTAAATTCGAAAAATCGACACCTCTTCAATACGTCATTATTGTTTTTCACTAGAAAACAATTTGTTTGGAATCGAGAGGAAAAAAATGTATATTGTTTAATGCGTGAAGGTGTACGCGGTAAACAGTTTTCAATTGTCAGTTTTACCGAGACTTAACGTTTCAGATTTGGAAATTAAAAAAATAATAATAATAAACAAAAAACGTTAAAGTGTACACTAATTGTATGCACACTATAGTGTCAGCAAGTTATTTTTTATTTTTTTTTTTGTGAAAGCAAATTTGCTTAGAGACTACGTACACGGCTTACAACATTCGGTTCTTATTGTTGTCGTTCGACGAATATCATATGACGTGTGCTCCACTATTGCGTGTGTGTTATTTACATAGCTCACAAAGAGAGCTCGGTCTTAAGGTTTATTATTTTTTCTACGAAGAATTAAGCCGTCAACGGGTCACTCCGAAAAGAATAAGATAATGTTTCCGCGTTGACTGTCGGACCGACTTGGAAACCACCGTAACATACCCTTGTCAAAGGCATATTGACACGGACACAAGTCACGAGGGGTCAACTCTTTTTTCTTCGGTGTTATTTTTTTCCCCCATTGCCAACAATGTGCCGGCACCGGATTGTCTAACGCGCAAACTGCAAAGGTCGTCCGTCGGATGTGGGAATCCTTACAAGAGTCACCCTGTTTTTGATTCCTTGTATTGTATAACACGTTTACATGCACAATTTGTGAAGTTACAAAAAAAAAAAAAAATTGTCTTGCGTGCTACAAATAGTTACAACTTTTCGGCCAACAGTACCTGCAAGCGGTGGTGTATTGGTAAAATAAATTCGTGGGTATACGCTCTTTTTTTTTTAACTATAACTAGGAAAAAAATGTTCTCGCTTCGCTCGAATTCGAGATGAATGCGTTGACTTTTCCTCACTCTGCTCAAACTCATAAATCCACATTTTCCTCTAATATACTATACAATTTCCTTTTTCGTTTATAATTACTTTATACAGTGTACTCGCATATAAATCAATATTTTTAATTTATCAAATACCCTAACAGTAGGTACTTGTTTTTACTACCAAAAAAAGAAAATTTTAATTACAATGTTGCTTATTTTGTTTACTTTTAACTTAATGAATAGGTACAATTAATTTAATTTAAAACCCATACTTAACAAACTGGTAACTCATCAGTCCATATAATTTTCAATATGATTTGTGTGTCTAACTGTATAAAAAAATACATAAAACCATAAAAAAATGTGAAAAACGCGCCTAGGAACTAAACCGCATTTGTTCCATAGTTAAAAAATTAAATAACAAAACATTTTAAAAACCCCTAAGCACAAAAAGTTGTACACTTTAGCCTATGGGCGTGTTTTGGTAGCAATGCTATCATCATCAGCGCTCACGACGGACTGAACTTAACTATACAAGTGTTATTTTTTGTGGATAAGGGTTTTTATAAAAAATATTGCATTGCTTTATTTCTTATCCCGTCTCATTGTTTCAATTACATCCATTTGCGAGTTGCGACCATAGAGCATTATAAAAAAATTATTAATTATATGTATGCTGTATTACACGATATTCTCGACTGCGGTACCGAGTGTGTTCTATTATTAACCGCACAACTAGCAAGATGATTATTATTGAGATATTGCGTCATTGATTTTGCGCTGAATATTATTTGTGTTTACGGTCGAGTTTTAATTATGTTCAAATAACAAATTCTATTTGTTCAAAATAGCTAATATTAATTTGTTCATACGTTAATTGAACCATTTGGCCTTTACGCCTAATATTTATCATAAACAAAAAGTACACACTTATTGAATAATACAAATAAACAAAGAAGTAATGTTTTTTTTATAAATTCGTTTTTAGAAAAATAATTATTATTACTCAGCAAATACACCATGGCCGTGTGTTTAACATTAAGATGGGAATATCCACTATGATAATCTACATATGATATAATTTAATTATTAATTTATAATAATTTTAAAACGGAAAGCATTAATTAAAACATTAGGTATATTGTTAGGCGCATTGTTAATATTGGTCAATATGAGTGTTGTGTACATTTAATCTTAAATGTATCTTGGACAGCATTTATTTTTATAAAATTTAAATTTCATTTAAAATTTTTTTAAAGTTTTATGTATACTATTGACATCACTAAATTAAACTGTGGTATATAATTCGGTAAGTCGCTGTTCAATAATGTAGAGTATTTTGTAACACGGTTTTAACTTTTGCTTAATACGCGTCGAGTTTAATTTTGTACCTATATATACTAATTAGTAATTACTACATTGTATTAATTACTTGGTAAACTTAAAGTTCAAATATTGTGTAGCTTATGTGTAAATAATTTGGTAAAATAATCATTTTAGTTTTAAAATTATTTAAAAACTATACGCAAAGAATAAACAACAAGAGTTAAAATGTTAAGGGTTTTTAGGGGTATTAAAGGTTATGGTTATACAAATACCAGCTAATATTTGTAATATTCATGACATGGCTTAATCAATAACATTTTGCTCTCTTAGTATAATATGGTCGCCAAAAATCAAATGTATTACTCATCGAATCGGCTATTTAGTTGTTTTATATTATATCTAGTAATTAACTAGTAATTAAACTGTGTAAATAATGTAAACCTATGTCAGACTATGTAATGTAGTACATGTACATTACCTAATCGAAATTCTAAAATGGCTACTAAGTAATATACACATACTTAGAATTTAGAAATAAAGTATAAGTATAAGTAAAAATAATCAAAATGTTTAAAAGTTACAGAGCACTGATTACAATTATCTTAATAAGACAACTCTACTACAGTTTAAGTAGGTACATAGTCTTCTTTTACCCTTGTACATATTTTATACATCTATTTTAAGAGGACGTCATAAATGCATTTTACAGGTAAAGTGATGAGCAAAAAAAAAAAAATTACTTCAACATTAAGTATTAAGCTAAAATATGAATATATTGAACGTTTTACCAAAAAATCACAATAACCCTATTTTGTTGTGTGTTATTTAAATGATTTTTGACTGCTGCTGTTGCAAATCCTTTGCTAATCTTATTTGTCTTCTTTAAAATTGTAGCCGGTCTAAAGAAACTGCTATATAGACTGAATTGAGTAACCGTTACTGCTGTCTTTTTTTTCGGTTGCACTTACTCAAAAAAAAAAACAAACTATAAAACACAAGTTAAAATCGCAGTCGCAAAATTATTTTTATTACCATAAATCTAAGTCTTCTAAGGGGTGTAATGTAAACTACGCCAAACAAAAGGGTAAAATTGTAAATTGTGTTTTTTATATAGTAAAGATGTTAACATACGTAAATGTTGCCCAGCATATACATTTTGAAGTAGTAACACGAGAACCATTTGTTCTGTTTATTTCAATTACAGGTCAAACTTTAAGTAATTAGCAGATATAGCTTTTCAAAAACCGATTACTTTCGAGTTGAGAGTTAAATTTAATATTCTTTTCAATGGGGTTTTTTTTAAATCTGTAAAATACTAAAGTACTATTTATACTTTAGTAAACTTTTTTGTAAATACCAATGGAATAATATACAGTATACGTTAATACTTAATATAATATAACGTTTTATATTTTGCTTTGCACAGCACTTGTAAATAAGATTTATAACAAGCTATTGATTACTACCAAATGAAGTAGCAAATTATCTCATTTTGTTTCTTTTTTTTAGTGGGTGAATTTTACATTATACTATTTGTACCTGAAAATTATGGGCAAAAATTACCATACTATTATTATGATCCAAAAAAATGGAGTCTGTTTTCTCTGGTACTTGCCACTACTAAAGTGTCAAATTTCATTCATTAAAATTTCAAACATCCATTTTATATAAACGAATATAATAATGTTTTTTATACATTTTCTTTAGTGCTGAATATTTGACTCGAATTACCTAAATTAATATTTTTAAACTTTGGCGTTCTGGTATCTTCAATCATTTTGGGTAATACATTGTAAATAATTTTCTAAAAGGGTCCAAAGTATAATTTTGGCAAAAATGATTTGAACCGCCAAAGACTTAAATCAAATTAGCGTTAATAGAATTAAGTACAAAAATGACCCTCTAGGCCATAATTGAAACATTTTAAGGAGCTTAAACACATTTTTTTATGAAAAATAAAAAAAAATAAAACTGTTACGTTTAATAGAGTTTCAATTTCTGGTTTTTATTTCATTGTAGTTGCTCAATTTAAGATTGCTGATTGTAGTACTTAACTCTTAATGGACGATGGATCGATTCCACCATTACTTATATAATTTTTTTAAATAAATACCTGTAAAAAATTATATATTTTTAAATATTAGTCTTCATTGTCTTAACATTTTCTAAGAAGATATATGAAGGGCACAGGGGAAGAAGGGTAGTAGTCCATCTAAAATTTTAGAGTATAGCAAAAACAAAACTATAACCTATGTCGTGAATTTCTCTCCCTCTTACATAAGAACAAAAAAAATCACATTAAGTGCTATTATACTAAAAAACGTATTTATTTAAACAATCTATTGGCATAAATAAAACAAATTAATAGCATATATTGAAAAAAACTATCTGATATGAACACTACCCTTCTTCTCCTGTGCCCTTCATATATTTAATATAACTTTATTGCTATATTTTTTACATTGATAATGTACTGAATGTGTTAACTAATGTAATTTACCTTTTAACACTCGGCATAATAATTATAATAATAAAGTACCTAAATACATATTATACTATCATAACTTTTGAATTGGTAATATTTCTCTTATGAGCAATATAAATCTGTATTAATTATGTCTATAAATTTATTAAGTTAAACATACTTAATGTATTTTATTCGTGAACCGGTTTGAACCGGTTAATAGTTTTAATGTAGGAGTGGCAAGAACCAGACAGTACTAGTGACGATATCTTCAAAAGGAAGTTTTTGTTCAACACCACTTTAAATGCTGAACACTTTTCTTGATTTTACAGAAAGCCAATTTCACCAACTGGTAAACTTGAAATCTTTTTACAAATTGTATCGATAGAGCTGAATAAAAGAACTAGTCCAGTACTCAATACAATACAACAGATGTATAAAGCTAATAAACAAAATATTTCCACCGGCAACGAAAGTAATGAAAACTGTGCGATTGGTCTAGTAGCATCACTGGTAGTGCGTAGAGGATCTTTCATTTGTTGTCACAGAAATGTTCAGCTGTAGAACAAGTGAGAAGGGGGCACCGGCGTAGGAGGAGCCAGCTGATGGATTGTGACAAGTTCGGAGCAAGACAATTATCTCTCGCACATACGCACGTACCTGTCAAGTGTTGGATCGTCGACTTGGCTGGAGTTTTACAGTTCGGTCCGATAAAGAATATAAAAGATAAAACGTTTGTCGAACAGTTTTAAGATAAAGGCGTCGGGGCTCCGTATCAATACAGCTGCACGGGTAAGTTGAATCTGTGAATATGACATGGTGAAACATAATATTATTATCTGCTTGTATTTTCGGTTGGCATCCACCGTGTCGACCACATGATTTCTCGTTTGATTCTCTACCCTAGATATTATTGAAAATAATAATAAAAAAAATATATACCCTTCGTATCGACACTTATCGATAACTACAAAAATGTGTTCGTCCATCGCTCATTACCGGTTACATAATCTTTTATCCATCATTGATTTGTCGATTTTGGTGTTTCGGAGTTGAGATAAAAATTATAGTTATACGATGATTAAGATATTGAAAATATTCACATATAGTATTCACATTATAGTATGGGTTTCGTTGCTGTACCGTAGTGAAATACATTAGAGAGAGTCCTGCACTTTTTTTTAAAAATATTTTATACTTTGCAAGTAATATATTATTTAATAGCAAGATTAGTGGAACACACAGATGTAAAATCGCAAAGTTGATTAAAAAATAATTTGCATTTTCTAGAATGTCCGGAAAAAAAAATGTTTAGAATACAAATTTGAAAAATGTGTATTATTACTTATTTAAGTACTTTCAACCAAATAATATTCCCGTGTCTTGTATAGAGTATCCCCAAACCATTGTCCATGAATTTTCGTGGTGTTGTATAGTTGGTTTTCTTTAGGCGGGCTTTGTTTTTGCATAATTGGTAGGACATATTTGTTTATGACTTCCTAAAGCAAGACAATAATAAATAGTTACGTCACTTTAGTTTTCATAACAAAAATATTGTACATATTTTTTAACAGATTTTAAAAAACTCACAGCGTTTACGGTTAATAGTTATCACTAGATCACATAAAAGGCTCGTTTGAAGAAAAATATTAATTTTAGCTGTTTTTAATATCGGTTGTTGAATAGCTAACGCAAGTTACTTGTAAAACTCTATTAGGTATTGATTGTAAAACAGGTCTAGGACATTTTTTTTTTTAGGATGTATTTTTCTCATAAGATACAAATTTTCAAACAGTGAGATTTGCTAAATAATTCATAAAAGTTACAATTAAATATGACACAATTAACATGACACAAGATACATTGAAAATATACGATTTTTAATTTGAATATACTTTTTCTAATTTATGGTCAATAGTTTAAAAAATGATTTCGATTTTTGAAAGAAATGTATTTATAGATAGATAGTCAATACTACTGGTATACTTAAATTTTTTTTTTTATTTCAAACGGAATAGCTGTCGTTTTAAAAAAAGTTATAGTTTTTGAAGTGTCGAGCGTTAAAATGACTACAATTTCCACGGTCGGTCGGTGTGTTATTAATTAAAAATAATATACAGTCCGGATTACAAAACAAACAGTATAGGTATCCAATGTACGTCGTTGGCCCGTCATTGCCGGAATACGATGCGTGCGCGTTCAAGTCGTCGGGAATCCTTAGAGCAAATACAAAACTTAAGTGCGTAAAATTAAAGCGCTATACCTTTTAATCCCCTTCGAAGATAACGCCGCCGCCTCGACTGCCTGTCGCTAAAGTCGTTAAACACTCGAGTCGCTCTAATTCTATACAATAACGTGTGAATACATTACAATATATCATCGTCATCGGTGTGTACATAATGTAGCTTTATATTATATTATTATTTTTTTGCATTCGATTGAAAAAAAAAATTAACACGTGAGTTTAACCTTCACCGGTTCGAACACGGAGCACATTTATTATTAAGAAAAAAAAAAAAAACGTTCCAATAGTTGAACTGACTAAAACCGCCGAGTGGTCGGCGAGAGTCGCACTCGAATCGCGTCTGCGACATTTTCCACAATAGATTTTTCGTTAGACTGATTTTCAGTAAAATGATATATACTTAAAATGTAACTTAATGTTATACATTAAGTATAATTTTTAATGGCGAACCGCCTCCGAACATCTATGTCGTCTAAACGCTACTGTCGGGCACCACGCCGATAGCGCCCAGGTAAATTGTTATTTATTCTTTTTATGTGTGCGTGTGTGTGCCATGTATATATTATGGTTTTTTATCACGCAGAACCGGGATATCATTGACGGGAAAGTTGGGGTAAGATTAGACAACGGGCTATCCCGTAAGCGTTATCGAACCGACACAAAAATGATAAAAAAATATAAAAATAAAAGATACCGGGGCAGCACCCGTTTTATGTTATGTTATTTTTTTATCTCGCCGTTTCGTCGTCAGATAAAAACGAAACAAAAAAATGCACTCGACCTGTTTACAATAAAATAATAATAATATATGAAAGCAACGATGGTAGTGATCATACAAAAAAAAAAACAACAAAATTATTCAGTTGTATCTCGGTCGGACTCCCCGGCAATTCGTCGTTCAATTCGAAAACTTAAAACGGTTTTTTTTTTTATAATATCAAATATGTCTTGGTCGTATGATGACGGTGTGTAACAAACGTCTATTCCTTATAACGAAAACAAAAAAAAATGCAATTTCCGTTTGACCCAAGTATTTACGATAATCGCCGGGCCCTTACGACTGCAGCTATGATACTTTTCGTCAACAGCGTCTACGGGGAAAAAGGAGTTATACTCATGTACACTTTTTTCGTGTACCTACGAGTATTATTTCAGAAGAATGATTTTTGAATGTCGAGTATGTGATACGCAGAAAAAAATACATAGTTAGGCCAACTACTTATTTTTTTATTCCAACTAGAAATGTATTGTGTCTCTTTATTAACCATAATATTTTAGTTGGACCTACTATACAATATTTTTCCTGTAGGCAATGTAATGTTTTTTATTTTTCCGTGTTAAAACCTAACGATTAATTTTTGTTCGATGCGGTAAAAACATAAAATCAAACACGATTCCCATTTTCGCCGGTCTCTTCGTTGAAATGAACTCGGTTCAGTTATAGAATTAGTTTGGTTAAGACATTACCGATTGGGAAACGGTCATCGATGGCGGATAAAAATGAGAGTACAGCCGTCGCGTCGTTGCCGTTGTCGACGACGACTAGTTTCACTCTCGGACGCTTCTCTATTATAATAATAATAATACATCGAATTTGACCCGAAGAGAAGCGATAGCGTTTTGACCACCGTCTGTGTTTGTTCCTTTCAAACGGGGTCCGATGGGAACGATGTCGGTCGGAGATAATAGTGATAAACACACGCACACGAGTTGTGTTTTTTAACGGTTGCGGCCACGCGTTAAATAATTTTTAATGGATGTACTCCAAAGGGCATGGACGACGACGGGACTTCCAGGGGAGTGATAAGACCGTCCCCCGCTCATATCAGGACCATTACAACGTCGGGTCACATCACTACTGTTCTGAATGTGCCGGACGGACAGACCCAAAACGAGAGCACGGCCACAGATACAATGGCACAGCTGAAAGTGCAACAACAACAACAACAACAACAACAGCAGCAGCAGCAGCAGCAACCGCAGAGAGAATTCGGACACGACGGGTAAATTTGACATTATTATCGTTATTTCTGAAACACTGTAGCTGTTCTAACTTGCATCGGCTATATCACATTTAATTATGAACTACTAAAATGGCTCGGTGTTAACATTGAGAGGACGCTACCCAGGCCGTATCTAAGCCAAATCTTAATTTAGAGTTTAAACTATAGTGTACAGTTATTAATACAGTAATAAGTAATTATTAATACAGTGACGATACTTCAGTGGTTGTCATTTATTTTGTCAGACTATCACAGACATTACTCGTTTCTATTTAGGATAAAATACAATTTTTTTCTATCAAAACTGCTGACTTATGCAAGCCCGGTATTAAAACTAGAATTACCAAATCTTCACATTGATAGAGAAGAACATTATCTCTGGGGTAGCGTATTTATTTTGTTGATATCTATACTTAATATTTTTGTTTATCTATACTTTATTTATTTTCCCCTCACCCGAAACTTTTATTAACCAGAATTTGTTTTTTTCCCAAGAAGACTTTATTACCACCTATTTTTTAAGGAGTTCAGCACACACTTTTTCAAAAAATCTTAATTCAAAATGTAAAATATGGTGTAAATGTTTATTTTTATCAAACCATCACAGCTTCCATTAATTATGTTTTTATTTTTTTTTCAAACCAAAAAATGACTACCTGTGTAGATTTACTCGATTTACTCGGTCCATGGTAGTTTTATAGCAAAAGCATTTTCAAAACAGTAATGATTCTTTTTCTTGGAAATATGTATAAAAACGGATATGGTATTTCCTCAGTAACGTCATCATCCTTGGAATTCCTTATTTACTCTAAATTCATCACAAAACATTCTTCACAAAACATTCATCACAAAGCATTCTTCTTTGTCAGGTTTTTACGCTATAAAATTGGGTGTAAAACGGCCTCTAAATGAAAAGCCGGAATTAATTACAATTTCCGGTTTAACGCGAAACCTAAATCATTTTATAAAATCAAATTGTAGTGCATACGTTATTGTGTGCACTTTTATGTACATGCATATAAAATGTATAATAATTGGTTGTCTTTATTAGTATTATTTTTATATTTTCTTAATAACTCAATTGAAATATTTTGTATACGCAATAGTCAGCACTCATATTAACCAATACTACTATAAAAATAACGATAAAAAACACCGGAAAAATTAGACTCAAATTTTGGTTACAATGTTGAAAATAATTCTGATGTAAAACACGTTGATAACCAGATTTAATTTTAAATATATTTGGTTTCTGGGTATACATATTTTTTCTTATCAGCTCTAGGGTTTTGGACATACGCTTACAGTTACTTTATTTTGTTGTAATACTGTAATTTATCACATGTGATACGAGTATATAATTTACCAAAATGATTTTTACTACGAAAATACGTGAATATTTTATTAAAAATAAAAAAAATATAAATATATTTCTTGAATTTTCATGCAATAGTATTATTGTAAAAATTGTAATAGAACAACAAAATTAAAATAAATATAAATAATATTATACTTTTTAAATGATAAAACATATTATAGCCTTGAAAATTACATTGCTAAAGTTTTTTGTGTCAAATAATATTATCAGGACGATACACATTACACATGTTAATGACATGTTTTTTACAAATAAATTGATTTAAAATTATAGTATATTAAAACTGTATATTTGTTAATCATATAATGTAAAGTTAAACCGTAATTTTTAGAACTGTTTAATTGCCCGTTTATTTAAAACAATAGCTCGATGCTTATGTGGCGTTTGCTGCTTTTAAGGCAGTAGCTTATGTAGAACTATTGTCGTATACCTTATATTATGATAATAGGAATAACTGGTTATTTCTATGTTCTAATTGTTCAGTTTCGCTTGGTCCATTTAATTGCAGTTTCCCACTACACCCAATCCGAATATGTAACTAACGGTGTACGACATTTTGGACTTTTGTGGCGCAAAAACGTTACAAATGTTGAAATTTGTTTGCCCAAACCTTGCTGTTCAGTTCTTAATTACCATTTTTTTGTCAGTCAAGCGCTTTAGAACAACTGGACAATTGGTCTTGTTACATTCATTTACTTGTGTTTTTTTTTTAAGTACACACAGTTTGTCCAGGAACTGTACGCCAGACAACACGGAATGCGTACCGTCGGAGGTGCTCATGGAAGGATTCGCCGAGAACAGCACCCCGGCTGTGCGTTCGCCCATAGATCCCGTGTCGCCGGACGAATACCAAAAAGAGCACAGCCCACCGACCGAAGCCATAAGACTCCGGAGGAACGTGGACGGCACCGAAGTGCATCTTCAGATACCCATGGAGAAGTTATCCACGTTCCAGGGGTATGTGACCTCCGACTATGCGAACAACCAGCGATACCAACGCGTCAGGTATCTGGAGTACCGAGGGCAGCAACCGGAAGACGGTGGTTTCGTCGACCAACCGTTACAACTGCTTAAGTACGAACATCACCAACCAGGCAAAATGGACTCAAATTCGAGTTACGTGACCCTAGAGTCGGTAACGGACGCTTACCAGCAGCAACAGCAACATCAGCAGCAGCAACAAAGCTACCAACCACAAAATAGCTATCAGACTTACCAGACGTACGAGGGCGAACCACAGCCGGACATGTTCAACATGTACGACAAAGGCGGGCACGGGGGAGAGGAGTACGGGTCCAAAAACCACCAAAAGTCTTACCAACAGACCATAATGCAGCAGCAACAGCAACAATCGGAATACCAAGACGACGGTAACGGGGGCGAGACTCAATCGGATTTTTGGTCGCATGAAAGTCAAGTGACCGATTTCGGAACTACCGACGACCAAAGTATGTCCGCTGCCAACGCTTTGCAAATGGACGGGTTGGGTCCCCCGTCCGACGGTGGAGTACAGGTGACGTCTCAGTATGCCATTTTCCAGACCGGCAATCCCGGACCCTCTTGGATCGACGAACACTACGACCAGAGTACGGTTTTATCAACAACGGTTAGTCCCACACGTCTGTTTCAATTAAATACAGTTTTCGGTTTTTGTTTTATAGACGGCATCTTGAATGTAGACATCAAGGAATGCGTCAATTGTGCAGCCAACGTTACGCCCTTGTGGAGGAGGGACGGCACGGGCCATCACCTGTGCAACGCGTGCGGTCTGTACAATAGGATCAATGGAGTGAATCGACCCCCGGTTAGATCGGCTCAGAAAAAAACCACACAGGTGATTTAAACGCGATGACGATGCTACTTTTATCTTGCCATTGTCTACCGCGGGATGCTACCGGTTAGGTTGCAGCAGCTATTGGTCGGCACGACCCACCTATTACGATAGGTTATACAATAATAAAATGATGATCGTTACGAAAGGTACGGGAAGAAAGAAAATGGACATTGCGCATTATAAGCTCTTGTGTTACGAGAATACCCAATGTATACGAAACTAGAACCATTTCTCTTTTAATGCTATATTTTTAAATATTGTTTTCCTTAATTGGCCTTCTTACCGTCATTCTTGACGTTCTTATGAATTATTGTCCAACCGAATTACTTCTCTGAATTAATCGTATTCTTAATTATTATAATATTTAGCACGAATTCAGATTTTCATCCGATTAATAATAGTTGTTAATTCATCTGAAAGACAGTCCTTCGATATAGTAAATCTTTAGTGGTGAAAAATGTAATGAAATATGTTACATTGTTGTTTATGATTACTGTGCGGACTAGGATAGAGGGCAAGATAATGATCGTCTTCAGGGAAGTGGCGTGTTTAGATGGGGGATAGATCCCTCCCCTTGGCTTTTTTAGAATAGAAAAAAAACAGATATACTTAGAAGTAATATTATATTGAGAAATACGGAAAACAAAAAAAAACAAACAAAAAGGTCAAGGAAGGGGATATCCCCCATATCCCCCCTTAAAATACGCTACTTTTTCAGGGTCTCTATTGTCTTAGGTCACTCGAGCTCCTTTATCGTTGGATCTATTGTTTCCATATTATAAACTAACTGAGTGGGACTGATTTTTTAAAATTAATTGGTGATCCGGGTCGATACTTTACTCCAGTCCTTCCTTTGTTGACAAAACAAAAATGCACTAGAGGACCTAAAACAGTATCATTAATGTATAGTTATTTGTGTACAGCACAGTGGAAACAAAAGATCCGGTGTGTCATGCGCCAATTGTTCGACAAACACTACCACGCTCTGGAGAAGAAACAACAACGGTGAACCGGTGTGTAACGCCTGCGGACTGTACTTTAAATTACATAACGTAAGAGTTTCATTGTTATTATATACTTGTGGTACATAATCTATACTTACATATAGAACTCAGTGTCAACAAACTACCCTTAACCCAAGGTTAACTATCACGCGAACGTCGAACATTTTTATAACAATTTAATAGCATTTTTAAGTTAAACTAGAAAACCGTGTTCATCGTGTGATGGTGCTTTTTGAGTTTTTATTTTAAAAACGCCAATTAGCCGTGAATTGAAAATGGTTGTTTTAACCACAATATCATTGTTGTCATTTCACAAATGATTACACGTTCAAATGTTAATGCGGTAATCATAAAGGCATAAATGTTTAAATTGTAATAGTTTTCGTGCATTTGATTGGGGAATCGGCATCCACTTAGGTTTCAATACACTTGCGCGGGCTGAGATACAAGTGTTAACCACTAAAAAAAACCTGTAACTAGTCCTGACTTACATACAAACCAAAAGATCTAACATAAACTACATTTTCAAACTCCCAAATTTTAGATCTGTCTTAAGAAGTAACAACTCATACCGAACATTTAAAAAAAAAATAGAAGATTTGCCTTAGTTATCTTGTTTAACTAAATACCGCGGTCGCGGCATAAAGATATTTTGGTTCCCGTGCGATCGCCGATGCGCCTTTTTCCCACGAGCCACATAATATTATCTATCTATTTGTTTGTTTGGTCGTTTTCGGTTTTTTAAAAAGTGAACAAATTACACCGAGTCTCGCCGACCCCTTTTATACAGCTTTTACTTTCATCGCAAACAACAAACATTCACAGATTCGAATAACATAATATCGAACCATATCATAGAAAACTTCATGCGGTGTTTTACCACCGTTTTTACCCGTACATGAAACACTCGGTACAAATCCAACTCGGTCAAAGACAGTTGCGTTTTGCGGTTAAAACATTACCGGAACGGCCTCTGGCCTAGTTCATAATTATACTATAGCGTCAGCCGGTATGTAAATATCCGCAAATAGAAAACGAAACCGTTTTCCGGGCTGTGTCTTTGCGACAGACGTCACTGGTTCACACACGCTGACACACCGGATGAACGTTGTGTCAATATTGGTCAAAGCCGGAACATAATATTGTGACTAACCGGCGCTAGGGAAAACGAGTGCTTACGTTGTTTCCACATTATATATGTATATTTTTGTTAAAATTTCAGGTTAATAGGCCGTTGACGATGAAAAAGGACGGGATACAGACGCGAAAGAGGAAACCCAAAAACCCGTCGGTCGGTTTCACTCAAAATTCGTCATCCAAGGAGAAACCACAAAGTAACCACACTAGTTAGTTATTTATTATGATATATTACTGTTGTGTTAAGCCGATTTGTCGGGTTTTTGTATATTTTTCGATATTATCTGTATGTGTGCCCCGAACGGGGTCGGCGGGGGAGGGCGGATGGTTAGGTTTACCGTGCGTTATCAGTCGACGTGTGTCAATATTGCGGTGTTTGTACAAGGTGAAGTGTTCGCCAGACGGGGAGTCGGATGAGCCGGTGTTGCTGATAAGGAAAAACTGTTTGACTGGCTGGCGGTGGTAAACACGGTGACATAAAAGTTTAAAATAAAATCCAAGCGCAACTCGTCGAGTTCTTCTCTATAATAGTAATTATATATTTCATATTATGTTGTGCTACCTACATCCTGGTCACGTTGTAAAATATGACTTCACCGACGGTATTTGACGAGATAACGTAAGTCGTCAACGTTTTTTTTTCTTCAAAAACCACTTCCTAACGATAATTATTGTACAGACGATTATTTGGATTTATAAAATATCATTTCATAACGAACCGTGTAGCAGGAAAATCGATAAATTTAACGGTTCATTAAAAAATGTTCGGGTCAATCAAGTGTTATCGTGATTAGGTCATGTGTTAAAGGGATATTTAAAGATTTAGTACTCGGGGAACTGTTTACGTATCTGCTACGTATGCAATTATGTAACAGAATATAAAACAATTATTTTTAACGAGTTGCTTTAAGGGCAATAATCACTTACTTGCTCATAATGCTACGTACAACTTTATTTGTAAAAACACATCTAAATAGATATAGTTATTTCCTATCGAAATTTCCGAACCTCGGTATTTGTTGTTAAAAACCTGTAATTAAAAAAATAACGTTCAATTATCTTAAGGAAATAAAATAATTCAATACCGTATAACTTAAGATGTTTTAAATAAATAATACTTAACCTCAAAGTACACAGTATTTTATTTATTTAATAAAGTTATGTAATGGTAATGACTAATAAATAATAAAAAATGTCAACAGAAAATTATATTAAATAAGATATTGGTGTTCGTGCTTTAAAAACAAAGTATTCATTAATAATATTACTGTGAAAACACGCTAATAAGTATATTATATTTCGTAAGAGGGCGTCGCACCGCCCATTTTTAAGGAGTAAAGTATAGGCAATTTTTTAAAAATCTTAATTTAAAGGTTAAACTGTGATGTGTAATTATTAGTTCAATAACTAGGACTCTATTTTGGTAGTTAATTTATTTTTTGGACTATCACAGCATCCTTGAAAGCGGTTTAAAAATGTTTTTTTCATCTCAACTTGTTTAAGCAGACTGAAAATAACTCGCTTAATTTTGGATTTAGAGTAAAAACACCCATTATAAAATTAAAAGAGAACAATATTTCGGAGAGCAAGATGGTGCGTTTTTTTCATTATTCTATGTATAACGCTCAATACATAGTTTAGAAATGACGACTATTTTAACATTTTTAAATGACTGTTACTTTCCAAAAAATTAATTTTTTAAAAAAAACGCACCGTCTTGCCCTCCGGAATATTGTTTTCTTTTAATTTTATAATGGGTGCTTTTACTCTAAAACCAAAATTAAGCAAGTTATTTTCAGTCTGCTTAAACATGTTTTTACCACTGAAAATCACCGGTGCGACGCTCTCTTAATAGCAATAAATGTTGACAATGGTAATTCAGAAATATTAACTAACAATTGATTTATCTGTAAAATGTTAAAGATAAATGAGAACGATCATAAATTAACATGTTTTACCTGTCAAGTAAACAAATGTTTATTTACATTACATTTTTAATTTGAAGAATTTAATGAAACGCGTGCTTCGTATGTGCATATTAATTCCATCTAGTTAAAGTAATAATATATCAAAAGATAAGAATAATATTATACATATATCCGAATAGTTACTGTATAATTAGCATTACCATTAAAAATAATTAAATCTTCTATAAATTGACAATTCTATAGTTTGTTTTTGATAAAAAATAAACGATTTTTTATTTAAAAATATAATTTTGGAAAATATAATTATTTGCTTTTTACATCAACATATATGCATGTGTTTACTCGAACCTACCAAATCATATTCGTATTCTCTGATTTTTATTGATATTTTATTTAAAAAATGAATATTGAAGTAAAATCCATTAATAATAATTGGAAAAGTGGTAATTTCCTCAATCCTCGTTCGCGTTTCACCAAGTAGAGTTCATTCATGGCAGGCGTTGTAGCGTTAATTGCATTCAAGGTTGCGTGTAAATTAAGTTGCATCACAATGAATTTAAGGAGCAGCTATTAAACGTTAACCAAATATAATATATATAGTTTGATTTCTTGTGCTTCAAATGCCTGCTGGTCTCTACAACGATACTTAACCAATTAAAATATACATGTCGTTGTAAAGATAATAAATTCACATAAGGAGTCAAGCTGCTGATATGCTGATCATCTAATTACGGAATACATTTTTCAGGCGAACCCACGACAAAACTTTTGCTTCCGCATTTGTTCACTGGTTCTTCGGACGGTAAACTTCAACACAGTCAACTTGGTTACGAATCCACTGTAATGACAACCCAAGATCACTTTTTACCACATGGTTCTCAACTTCACATTGTACCTCTTCCGCCAACGTCGACAAATATTGGCCGACACATTCCAAGGTAACGAATACAATAAAAAAAACTATATAATCTTTTTTTAGTGTAAATATTAATTCGGGTAATATATTTGATATATTATAAGGCACTAACATATAGTTAGTGGGTTTAAAAAATAAACAATACAAGTTTACCGTTTTTGACGGTTGTTGTTCATGTAGAACTTAAGAGCACTGGGAAGTTGAGAAACTAATGAGAAGTTTCTAATATCTTCCCGGCATTAAATAGGAAGTCTCCACATACCGAATGACCATTCACCATACTTAGTTACTTTTCAAGAAAACATGTGGACATTCATCGTGTGTGTGGTAGGTTATCCTATTTATTGCCGGTAAGATAACAGGAGCGTTCCATTATCTGTCTAACATCCCGGTGCTAGGGATAATGTTGTTTTAGTCTTTTTAGTTTCGACGTTTGTATTTTTACCATTTTGCGAATTTTGTTTTAGTTTGAACGCGTTTTCAAAAATCTTTTTGTCTGGAAATAATTATACTGCATTTCAATTCATGTGTTTTATTTTTTTACAGTAACGGTCAAACCATGGACCACATGAGCTCCAGGGATAATATCATGTTGACCAGCGTTATCACGTCGACAGGAAATCAAACCAGAGATGATTAGATAGTACTTAACAATAACAATTATATACTTAGGATGAATATATTGATGCAAGTTCATATATCTTTTTTACATAACGTTATGCGCGATGAAAATTGTATATTATTGATTATTATACATATTACAAAGAAATAAACGGCAACGTCGACCATTATTTTATACTTTAGATAAGTTTTTTTTTTAAGATAGATGTTTAATTTTATATTTAGAACTCGATAAAAATTTAACAAGTCCAAGTTAATTGTTTAATATTTATCGTTCATTAAATTATTTTTTAATTGTTTATATTTGTTTCACATAATATATATTTATATATTAAACAATTTACATACGTCTAAGCTCAAGCGTATAAACTTTTTTCATGGTAGATTTAGATTTTTAGGGCAGTAAAATGTTGTTTACTATAATATTGTATACAGAATATTAAAATGTGTTTTTACTAATATGTAATTTTCGTGTAAGAGAATTTTTACTGTTGGATTGAACCTTAATAAATACTTTATAATAAAATAATGTACAGAACTAATAAAAAATAATACAATTTGTTGAAAATTTGACGTTATTCTTAGCATTCCTTATCAAATATTTCTAAAAAAAAAACTAGCATAAAAATTGACAAAACGTAACTTGATTCATTTTTAATTATACAATTTTTTTTTCAATATAATTTTAATTTTCTCAGTTATTCAAGTAATATATCATTATAACATTCATTATAAATAGTACCTATGTGAATTTAGATTTTGCAAATGAGAAATTATAGAATGAAGGTAAAAAATTAAATAATATTTAGATGTTAATACTAAGTTATAATATTAAACCATTTAAAATTACAATATTCAAATTTTAATGCAAATAAACATAAATTTAAATTTATTTAGAGTAAAGTCCAATTTAACAACGCAGGGCATATTGACTAAGATTAAAAAATAATATTATTTCAGACTGTAAAGAAAGATTGAATATTACACAATTTTTAGTTATTTTTAATAATTTAATTAAAAATTGGATAGTCAATATTTACCTCATTGGTATATTTTATCTACTGTTTGTAGCTTAATGCTGTACTTAACATTATGTACTTAGGTATTAATTTAGGAACTTGTGTATAATATCAATGTAGAAATATGAATAAACCGCGTTTAGGTTCCTATTTACACATACATTTCGAACCCTTTAATTTCTGTTGTGTAATAATTATATCGTTTTGTGGTTTTTCGTCGATTGGTATTTGCTTTATATATTTTTTCGATTTCATTAGTCAAACATGCAAATTAATTTTAGTACTAATTTCAATATTAAAAAAAAAACCATAATACTTACAAAATAACACTGGCAAATTAATTTTAAAAACACATGCTGAAACCTGGAAATTATTACATTGGCATAGTGGGCTTTTTCTTACTCTTATTTGTTTTTAAAACTATATTTACTAATAATAAAAATAAATAACTTATTTAATGTCGGGGACATTAACGTTTTAACATGTTTAATTCATTAAAGAAACAAATAAAATAATTTATCATTATAAATATTTACTACAAGCTCTCTACAGCTCTTCTTATTATATTTATTATATTCAAGTGTATATAAGAAAATATTTCCAAATTAATTGTTTCCGCATAATTGTCTAGATTATTGTTGCTCAATGGACAATACTCTTTTATTGTATTGTCAACGTGATGGCTTTTACTAAATATTTCAAAGCGTCTATTATAATAGACGTTGTTTGATACCACATTATTAAGACTATCGCATAAGTAAGTAAATAAAATCCACAATTTTTGGTTGGTTTGTTCGTGACCATTATTTTGAAATTTATCTACTTTAGGTGTTACACTCACAAAGTACTATTTGTACAGTCGGTCGTTTATCAAACTGACTTTTCGTCGTTGTTATTAATGTTTGAATGTAATATAAAATGTGTAGTTATTAACCATTAACGCCAACAACTCACGTCTGTTAACATCGTCCAAACGATAATTGTATAATCGATTCCAAAAAACAAAAAATTAAAAGAAAAACACAAAATTCACTATGGGGAATAATAGACTATTGGTTTATGATTAATCACATTGAGTCTCTTCGATCGATGGACCGGGTCGTACATGCACCCACGTCGTTCATCCAAAAATGCATTCTACAACCGCTTAATTGAACTTCTACGAACCCACGCAAATGATTTTCAACACAAACAACTTTATAAAACAAACAAAAAAACATCACTTAACATTTTTCCGCCACGCGTTACGTTCCAGCCGGTTTTCGGTTAAAGTTACATGCATGGGCGGACGCTAAATTTGTATACTACATGGAATTAATGTAACGCACTAATACCACCATATACATACCTCCGTTAACCCGCATGACAAATACATGTTTGAATATTTGTATAGATGTACTTAGATTTATATAGATATCATTTACTAAACGATCTAATGCAATCACCTGGTCGTAGTTTGCGATCCGCTTGTACGTAAAGTTCGGTTGACGGACAATAATAAGTATATAATTATAATAGAATATTTATTTATTTATATTTTAACGGGTATAACCCTTTTACAATGTAGTTACAACACTTAAATTAAAAAAAAAAAAAAAGTTACAGTACAACATTTACAATAAAAATTAAAACAAAATAACAAGTAAAAATAATTTAGGGTAGTATAAAAAGTGGGTTGGCATTGGCATTTGACATAATACGTCTCCTCATTGGTTCGTTGGAAATATAGTTGGTGCTTCAATTGGGAATTGAGAAAGGAGTATGAGATCTAGTACGCCTAGGAGGAAGTTTAAAGTTCAATAAAGATAAAAGGTATGAAGATCAAGGAAAAGGTATTACAAGAAGAAATATGACCGTTTAATAAACCATACAACATTTTGAGTTCGCTCGTTTTTCGGCGATCAGCTAGCGAGTTTAGGTTAAGGAGATCTGCAATTGGTGCATAGTCATGAGATGCATGTGGAACATTTAATAAAAAACCTGCATGTCGCAAAAATCTACGTTAAACTCTTTTTATTAAGTAAGAGTCGTAAATATTATGAGGATTCCAAACAATAGAGCCATACTCAATAACCGGACGAACTAACGCGCAAATACAGCGTTTTCAATGATTTTTTTAGTTTTAAATCCGATGTAATCCTCATTACAAAACCCAATGTTTTAAAAGCATGGCAAGAAATCATCTCAATATGTGGCCAAAGATCAAGCAAACAATTAAATTTAAAACCTAGATGGTAATAGAATATTATAGTAAGTATACTGTAAGTGACTCGATTGATGTCGCTGACAGATTTTGATGACGTGTGGCTTTCGGCAGTAGTACATTGTAATTTGATCTTGTGTTATTACTTATTATTATGTGAATACCGACAACGCGTGTCATCAGTTTACTTGAATATTGCAAAGGCAGGGTGTAAATTTAAAACTTCACGAGGTGAAGTAAACATGGTTTTATTTTAGTCCATAAGTGCTAGTAAACGATTTACTGCTCAAATATCAAGCCCACTCTACAGTCTACATACAGTGGAAATACTAGCAAGTTACTTACAGGAAAGATATTTTATGCCGGCAGCGTTGAAGCCTTAGGTAAAGGCTTCTCGTTGAAATAGGAAAACGAAGTATTTTTGGGCGGCGTTGACTTCAATAAAAAACAAAGTAAGGACCACGCTTATGTCATATATTTCATACATACAAACAACAACATAAACAAAGGTAATATCATAATATAAACTACTGTATAGTTACACTGAATGGCGTAGGTATTATGATAAACTAGTAGAGCTTTATGATTGAATTGGTCTTTGTGTTTTAGGCCCACGCTAAGCACTTAATATTGTTAATGAATTCGGCTCAAACTTAATATAGTTTTTTTTTTTGTTAAACAAGTTTCTAAGAAAAACTGACTAATGACTACACCGTGTAGTGTACTTAAGAAGTATAAGTGGCGTACCATCCGTTTTCGGTAAAAGTGACATCGATTAGGCAACAGCGACGAGGCGCCTCCAAAATCAACAAAGAGGTTTATGATTTTAATTTATAATATCCGCCAAATACTATCCAATTAATGTACTCTTAATCATTTGATAGATTATTCCGCAAAAAGGAATACCATGTTATTATAAATCAAAATAATGTCAGCAAGATATTTTTAGAAATATGTGTATTTTAATATTATAACTATACCTGTAGTGCGAATACTCGTAAATAACATAGCTATTCACCAAAATTTGGCATACCTCCTAATCTTTCAATTATACATAATTGATGTCTGCGAAAAAAGGCTTCCAAATTTTACCCACAGGTTACATCTTGTACATATCATTACTTAGTATACATACCTGCGTCGCACCAGTGAGCAATTAGGTATAATTTACACGAAATAAGGAACGGGTTAACAAAAAGTCGTGATTATCGATTTATGCTATTCGAAAAACAAAGTTTCATTATTTATTAAGTACATTAAAAACTATTATAATATTTCTAATGTACGCCATTTTTTTACTTAGTGTAGTTGTGGTAATATTATGTTATTTATTGTTAGAAAAAATTCTTAACCACAAAAAAAATACACTCGTATAAGCTATTTCGGTAGCAACCTTATCATTAGCGCTGACAACAGACCGTGACCGATTCATCTTGGATCTTACCGAATTTTTTTATGCAAACATTTGGTTTTCTAGGTCATTATGATTTTTGATATTTTTATAAAAAGCATTGTGAGTAGTAGAGCATAGTATTTACTAGACTAAGATTTTAGTGCTGGACAGACGTTATTGGTGGCCGTTGAAATTGGATAAGCATGAGCTCATCGGGTGACAAACAGCTGTTTGTAATTTTTGGAACAAAATACATATTACGGTATGCATTATACAGTGCGACGGTAAAAAGAGATAAAATCGACAGGACCGTTATAGGCACGGGACAGGCGAACGACGTCTGTCGGAGGCCACCGCCTTTTTAATGTAATAAAAAAAGGAAAAGAAAGGGGTAATCAAATACGGGTTTTTTTTACGATTAATATAGTAAAATAACATTTGACAAAAACAGTAACTACTTAAAGGATAACGACGACTACGGGCGAGCAGGTAGTGCAGAAAGAGCGGAAACGCTGTACTTCGAAAAAAAATGTGGTATTCTTTGTTAATTTTGTTTTGCCATACATTTTTTAAATAATATATTATTATCATAATCCGTCGTCCCGTCCGTTTAATACCCTTTCGTTATAGTCTAAGCGCACGCGCTCGCCATATCGAAAAGTCGGTCTAAATTACACGGTTTGGGTAATAAAAAACAAGTAAAAATCATTATAATATGATCCAGTTTTGACCTAACCTTTTTTTATTTTTTTTTGGGGGGGGGGGAAACATTATAGTTTCGGGCTTTTCCGTTGATG